TTTCTTCCAGTAACGATAACTCCCTAAGTCCTCGTCCGTTCCAAGCGTTCTTGGGCTCGTTAGAATCAGCGCGTCGAGCTCTTTCCAACGGGACCCTAACTTGGTCAAGGCGCCCGAGGGTTGACCTAATCACGGGGGTTTCCCTACAGCCGCGGACGCAACCTCCGAAGGCGGGTTTTGCGCCTTGCGCCGTAGAGATCCTAACTGCGGAGCTCGCAGGGAGGGTGGTGCCTGTGCTTGCTGCGGCACCCCAAATCCCAGATTCTACAAGATCCCTCGAGAATCCCCGCGATCTTCCGGATTCACTCTGTTTTGATGTACCGAAGGCTATTTACAATGCTGCCGGGGTACAGTTTTTCAAAAATGTTTTAATTTCCTCAAAATTGCCAAAAGTGGGGTACCACAAGAAGGATGTACATGGCAACTACACGGATAGGCGGATGTGTGGAGATTACCGTCCTATCAATCGGCAGACGAAGGCCGATAAGTATGCCATGCCTACACCTGAGGAGATCTTCGATGTGGTGGGACATGCGAAGATTTTTAGTACTTTGGATCTTCGGGCGGGATACCACCAGTTGCCGATTCGAGAGGAGTACAAGGCCAAGACAGCGTTTTGGGGTGTCAACTCTCACGGCAAGGATTGTTTGTATCAGTGGCGATTCTTACCCTTTGGGTTGAAGAATGCACCTGCCGAGTTCCAGAGAGTGATGGACAGGATTCTAGCGGGGCTAGATTTCGTCAAATGTTACATTGATGATATCTTGGTGTTTAGCGACACGGTGGAGCAACACCAGATACATTTGCAGATTGTGCTTGAGTGGTTGAGGGCTCATGGTCTGCGGTTACATCCTGGGAAGTGTAGGTTCTTCCAGGAGAAGGTGGAGTACTTGGGTCATGTGATCTACCCAGGTGGTTTGGGAGTTCAGCAGGCAAAGGTGGAGGCTATTGCATGCATTCCTTGTCCAGCGGATGTGAGTAGAGTTCGTGCATTCATGGGTTTGGCGAACTATTACCGGAGATATGTGAAGGGATTCAGTGCTATAGCGAAGCCTTTGAACCAGTTGCTGAAGTCGGATCAGGAGTGGCAATGGGGAGATGAGCAGGAGAGAGCTTTTGTTGAGCTCAAGGCCAGGTTGGTGGCCGCTCCCATCTTGAGGAGACCTATCAGAGGTCGACCATACCAGTTGCACACTGATTGGAGTATGTTGGGACTTGGAGCGGTGTTGACGCAGTGTGATGATGAGGGCAAGGAGTTTGTGATTGCGTACGCTAGTCGTTCGAACAATGCAGAAGAGTCGCGGTATAGTTCGTACGAGGGAGAGTGTTTGGCAGCGGTGTGGGCTGTGGCACACTTCAGGTGTTACTTGTTTGGTACGCAGTTTACTCTTGTTACCGATCATCAACCGCTCAAGTGGTTGATGGAGTCTGACAAGCTCACAGGGAAGCTTGCACGGTGGGCTCTCATCTTACAGGAGTACAACTTTCAGGTGGTGCATAGGCCTGGAGTTGCGAACCTGGATGCCGACGGTTTGAGTCGGAACCCATGCACTAACCAGGAGGATGACACTGGAGCTAGGTGGCATGGTGAGGTTGATGAGGAGATGGTGCCCGGTTGGCATGCATCGGCCTTCATGTGTTGGTTTTGTGGGGCCTCTAGCAGTGAGGACCACTTGACATCTTACTCTAGTCGGAGAGTAGATAGTCAGTCTTCGGATACTGAGGTTGAGGATGGTGGTGTGGACCAGCGTGATGTTCACGATGATGCGTTGGTGTTGGAGTTCCTACGGACCAGTATGGTGCCAGGCACAGTGGGTGCCAAGGAGCGAGATCGTGTTCTCCAGAGGGCGAAGAGATATCGATTGGAGGGAGCACATGTTCTCCGAGTGTGGGAGGACGGTAGGGTACGGGTAGTACCGCATCCAACTCAGAGAGCACGCATTGTGAGGCATGCTCATGAGGAGTTGGGACATTTTGGAGTGAAGCGTACGTACAGCTTACTCCTAGGTCAATATTGGTGGCGTGGTATGCATACGCAGGTGCAGCAGTTGGTATCACGTTGCATGGTTTGTGATCGAGTGAGGGCATCGTTCAATGCCCCGACACCAGAGTTACATCCCTTACCTATCATGGGATTGGGTTACTGTTGGAGTTTGAACTTTGCTGGACCACTACCTTTGACTACACGACATCATCGGTATGTGTTGGTGATGGTGGAGCATTTCTCCAAGTGGATTGAGTTGGTGGCATTACCTGACAAGGCGAGTGAGGGAGTAGCATATGCTTTCCTTGACAGGGTGCTTAGTCACTTTGGTGCACCAGCTGAGGTGTTGACCGATCAGGGGACAGAGTTTCAGGTCTTGTGTGACAAGACGCTGATTGATCACCGGACTACTTCCCGAGATCATCCAGAGGCGGATGGTTTGGCTGAGCGGATGGTACAGACGGTGAAGAGAGCGTTGCGCAAGTATGGCCTACAGAAGGGGCATCTTGGGAACTGGGATATTCAGTTACCATGGTTGGCCATGGGATATCGATTCAGTCGTCAAGCATCCTTGGCTTCGTTTTCACCATATTTTCTATTGTACGGCCGAGATCCAGATTTGCCAGCAGCGATTCGTCGTGAGTCTAGCGAGGTGGTGAACCTTGATGATCCAGATATGTGGGTGAGAGTGTGTTCTCAACGTGCAGTGCTCTTTCGGAGAGTTATGCCTGCAGCGTTTGAGAACCTTGCGATTGCTCAGCACCGAGATACGTTGCGGTATGCAACTATTCGAGGAGGAGGTTATCGACCATCGATTCGTAGGTTCCGCGTGGGAGACTACGTCTATCTACAGCAGACTGCACCGACTACGTTGGATGTGACGGCAGGACGCACTATCCTGCGAGTGCGAGAGGTGTTATCTTCTGGAGTTCTCATGTTGGAGGGTCGTGACGGTGTCGTTTGGAAGGATCATGTGCGCAACTGTGCGCCATGCCACCTCCCAAACGTGGATGGTACTATGGATCCAAGCTTGGCGATTGTACGTGCCGTCTTGAGGTGCATGTTATGTGGGTCAACTGATCAGGCGGCCCATATGTTGGTGTGTGATAGGTGTTCTAGGGGATGGCACATGTCGTGCTTGACTCCACCTATCGATGTTGTTCCTATTGGACGGTGGGTTTGTCCTCGATGTACTTCAGAGGGTAGATGACTTGATCTTCACATGTTATGAATTGCAGATAGGCGACTAACGATGGGGCGACATAGCACCCGGCCTACTGGTTCGCGCACCCACGAAGGTGCATAGCATGTAGTTGTAGATAGGGCTACCTGAAAGTCAGAGGGACCTGACCGCCAGTTAGGGGGGCGAGTTGTGATACCTTTGTGTGTGGACACTCTCGTTCCTTGTGTATGTATGTGTGAGTTGTGAGTAGAGCATGTCAGCGATGTATGATGTATGGCGATACTGAGTCGCACGACAGCTGTCATGGCTCGAGACGTTGGGTCGATTTGAGTGGAGACACGTTGAGTTCGAGTTGGAGTCGGGGAACGTTGGGAGTCGGCTAACGTTGGGCCGCGGCAGACGGGCGAGGAACGTTGGATGGAGTCGACACCTTCTAGGGATATATTCGAGGCGAGCTCGAAGAACTGTCAGTTCTTCGAGTTGAGCCTTACGCGTCGGGGTTTTTCCCCTTAGCTTCGACTTTTAGTCTACCTACGAGTAGTGAGTTTGGCTCGACTCTTTGTGTATTCGTGTTTCGACACTGATTTTAGTTGTGATACCTTTGTGTGTGGACACTCTCGTTCCTTGTGTATGTATGTGTGAGTTGTGAGTAGAGCATGTCAGCGATGTATGATGTATGGCGATACTGAGTCGCACGACACATATCCAAAAAATGATATTTTGTAGATATAGAATCCAACTTATTTCTATTCATTTTAGATATGAGAGAACAACCAATACAACCCAAAATTTTCAAACAAAAAGAATCAGCTATTTTATTTTATACCTTTATTCAAAAATTATCAAGAAATTGATTGCACTAAATATGATAGCAAATATAATATGGTATACAAATAACAACTTTAATCCAAAATTCATATGATAAATTTGATTGATTCAACATAGTTCAAATATTTTCCAACACTATTAGATTGAGGTTTTTAGAAATAGCATCCTATTGTGGAATATAAAAGATGGTGAGATGACGAGTAATCTTATTCTCTTTGCAGTAATTTCAAAATTTCTTAGTAGCTATATTTTCTACCATTATTAGTACGTAAATATCTCACTTTGTGTTTGGTCTTAATTTGAACTTGTACATTCAAACTCTTAAAAGTCTTAAAATTTGAGTCTTGTGTTGGAGTAAATAAACTCACATAAACTTTGAATAATCATCAACATATCATACATAGGAAAATATCACATAGAGTGAAGTTTTAGGAGAGATTTGCACATGTCATTATGTACATATTTGAGTAATTACTTGGAATTATGATTTCCAACTCCAAAGGTTTGACTATTATAGACCATTTTTGAGTCATACTCCTTTGACTCAACTCTTGAGCCACATTGATATGTATTTATAAATTTATAAATAAATATAAATATTTATAAATTTCAGCATCTTGGATCTTCACGCGACAATTCTTATTTATTTTTCTCTAAGGATTTTATCCCTGGACTTATATCTTCTTTTAGATCACACAGGTAGACCATCCTTGAACATTTTTACATTGAAAAGTTGATGAAACCAAGCCATTTAACCAAGATATTAAGGATCTCGGCGATTGCGTGGAACATGTTAACGTTCTTTTCAAGTTACCATAACTTGAACTTTTCGATCACCGCTGCGAGCGAGAGTGTCTGCGCAACAGGGGACGTCATTTTGACGTCTCGGCGTTCAACGTCTGCAACATTGATCACATCAAATGCACATCTTCGTACTCGCACAAACCCTCATCGTTGTAAAGTTTCCTCATACCGCGTGATCGCTTGTGTGACAGGAGGATGTGTCTGCACGAGAGAATATTTCATGCTCGGCAAAAAAGGTCATTACAATTTTCCTCATCTAATCCATGGCTTTCTTCTGCCAACCTTGCGGTGACACTAACCGCTTGGCACAAGGCGCAGCGTCTACGAGGTTGCTGTCGTAGCTGGGGCTCTTGCCGCTATTATCGCTACTGATATAGCTATTGCAAATCCGGCTTTGTGCGTGCACCAGAACGCAACCAGGGCTCCACACTGGTCACATCGAAACGAACAGCAACATTCTCCGAAGTGACTCCCATCAGCAACAAACAGTCAGGTGCGTGTTGACAGGTTTCCAACTTAGGGGTTAGACCTTCCGTCCAAAAGCCATGGCATAGTTGGTAATGGATTCCACTCCTGAATCAGTTCCTATTTCGTAAACCCCAGCTTTGATCGAAGCAGCCACATCCGCCATTGCTTGTAGACCGGAGGAACACTGTCGATTCACGGTCCTGAAGAAAATAGTCTCAGGAAACCCGACCAGGAAGCAGGCAATTTTGCACTTCATGGCTCGTTTCGATCCAGGGGCGAGGACAATTTTGACGAGAATATCTCCGACCTTGGTAGGATTGACTCCAGACCGCTCGACGAAGGCCAAGTAATGCATCACAACCGGACCCATACAAGTCCAGAGCTTCAAGCTCCGCCGATCCGTGACGAAGGCATACACGACGCCGCCTCGAGTCTCCTATCCGGTCGAAAGCAGAGCTACCTTCGCAAGTTCTGTCAAATTCAACCGAACCGCGCCATCGGTGGCACCCTGTTGCAATCTGTGATACTTGGAAGAAGAGAGTGCATCGTCAAACCATCGATGCTCTTTCTGCCTACCAAGTGCCTTTCGATCTTTTTGGAATCGAGTATCAACTGTTTCTACTAAATGTAAGAGATCGTCTCCACAAAGTCAGAGCTTCGAGTTCTCTTGATGTTGCCGGTAGTGGTGCTCCTGCTGCCGTCCCCGTAGCGATGCCTGCACAACCAGTTACAGCTGATGCGGACAATGAGGCCACTGCAGACAGCGTTCAGACTGCCATGGATATCTCTGATGGACGGCCTTCCGAAAGGACTCCTCTGTTACCTCGTGAACCTTCACCAGCCCCACAAGTGCGACCATGTCATGTTGTTCGACACGTTAGAGAATCTCCAGAGCCGACTGCAGCAGCGGAAGATGCAGCACAGTCGTCGGAAATGTCAAGATTTATTCCAATGCACGGCGGAGTGCATCGTCAAACCATCGTGGCCGCTGTGATACTAATTGTTCTGCGGTTACTAGGAAGAAAGGAGTGCATAGTCATTTCATTTCATAGGAAGTTTCAGGCGCGTCGCCGATGCCAAGAGCGCACACGTCGAGGTTTTGCCGGTTCCTGGAGTCCCAGTGACGAGCACGTTGGGGCCTCTCTGCCCGTCCACCATCCTCGCTCCCCTTCGTCCTCCCTCTCCTTTCCCTCCAACTCCTGTTGGCTGAAATTCTACTCCTACACCACCAAACTCCGTTCGCCCAGCTCACACTCCACGCCTCTCGACGATCTCGACCTCAACCTGCTCGACCTGCTTCCCCTTTAGGTTTCTAACACAGGATCCTACGGACGAATAGATTGCAGCGCACGAGGGCCGAAGCTCTTCATCTAATCCCAGCTTTCATCGTGGCCAATTCGCTCTTACAGTAACCGAGAAATAAATTACTTCATGGAGTGAGTAGCAGCAGGGGTTTGACGACGATGGCAATGAATGGTCGCTCCGAATTGGAATATTCTCGTTCTGGCGTCGGGCATCTTAGCAAGTCCTCGAATGTGTTGGATCCTTTCCTCTGCGAGACGGAGAGGAGAAGAGGAGTGGGAGAGGAGAAGAGGAGTGGGAGGTCGGACATTGACCCCATCTGTCGCAGTGTTCGGTTCATGACATGAGCATCTGTTATTAACGAGCATCGACGTAGAGTCAGATTTGGAGCTAATGCATGGTTACGGGGTTTATCAAGTTTGTGCAAAATCTGACTTTCCACTAATTGCTACCTTTCTGAATGCTCTCGATATAACTGGTGTACCTCAACTCAATATATCTGTAGTTAATGTTTTTTTCCTTTTACTAGCAAATTTATTACTAAGAGTGAATGATTGTAGTAAGTATTATAAGAGTATTGCATATATTTCATTACAAATCTATTCCTCTTTTGTATATTGACACGTAGTTTGTGTGTTTACTCCTTTACGAATTGTACGCCACATAAGACAAAATTGCTTATTGAGTTTCATCTTTTAGTCTTGAAAGTTACTATCTCCAAAGCTAACGTTTAATATCTTTTGGTAATCTTCATAATTTTGAGCTTCCATAAAGATGCTTGACATGGGGTTATACATAGGGATGGGCTAGTCGGCTAATATTTTTTGTTATTATTTATATAATAATATATAGCCGGCTAGCCTTCGGGTAGCCGGCTATATATTATTATATAAATATTGCCACCTCTATCCAAGGCCGAAAACGAACCGCAAACTCTGGCCGAATTTACGTCTTCTGTCGATTATTTCCTTAGATTCGGCCGAAATGATCCAATATAGATTCATTTCAACCGAATATTTCGGTTGATTGCATTTTCATCCGATAGCCGGCTAAATTCCAGCCCAGCCGGCTACCCGAAAGTTAGCCGGCTAGGTGCCCATCCCTAGTTATATAATCTAAGAGTGTGAATAATGTCTAATAATACTTTTTAATATAATCTAGATGTTACTCTCGATTACTATATTTTGCATGTACATAACCTTGTCCTACTATGAGGTTTCCATGTGACTATTGATATGTTTTCACCTTGATCACTACGCTTAATTAATTTCCGTTAGAAAAAAATTGAATGAGCAATCAATTATACATTAACCGGAAATCTCCTAAAATTTCTATCCATCTATTTTTCTTTAATGGTAATGGTAATAAACCAAACCCGGGAACCAAAGTGTCAAAAGTCTGAAAAACACAATATAAGCAAAAATCCACAAACAAGGTAAAAGACACCAAAGGTCAATCTTTAGCTTGTGCCAAGAGCGTTAGAACGGTAATTAATAATATCCATAAAATAACAACCTATACAAAAAGTAACTAATTGTAATAAAGAATAGAAAATCTCCACATCTATATTGTGAGCAAACCTTATGTCTTCTTACCTAGAACAAGTAACAAATGAATGCTATTCATCCTCAATGTACCCACCGTCACATAATCTACAAATAAGATCACTCCTATTATTATTAAGCCAATGTACTTCATCAATTCCAAGCTTATAAGATCGAGTTCTATGCCTAGGAATAATATAATGTAAGTACGTAGAGATTCTATAAATAGGTAATCCATTCTGATGTAAATGATGATCAAGTAAATAAAATATGAAACATTTCTCGATTTGTGATTGTCATCCGTGCACAGAGGCCATGCTAATCTTCTATGTATAGTTACAATTTTAACGTATGTCCCCGAAGGGACTATTAACAGAGTTACTCATTCACTCTTATTCATATCATGCATCTAAATTATGTATATAGCTTAACCATAATGCATTGATGCTTCTTGACTTTGCAGCAAAGTAGCTTTGAAACCTTTTGGGTTATATGTATATAGATTTTATGTACTTCACATCAAATTAATTTTTTTTTAATAAATTGTGGTGTCAATTTAAATGCATTTTCGTGTATCGATAGTTTATTTCACTGTTCAATTTGATGACTCGGAGAGATTTCTTTATTAGATGGTTTGCTCATACAAAGAATATAAAAAAGATATCTATGACACTATGATGTCTGCTTTCTCTTGATAAAATCAATAATTCTTATGAAAAATTGATATTATGTTTTTTTAGTAAATCAATATAAAAATACATGGTTTCTTATAAAGACTATGATACTTTTTTGGCTATAGTCGAGTTTACAATTTTGAAAGAATATAATCATCTTTTTCTAAGGTATGGGCTCAATGAAATTTGGACACTCAAGGTTTTCAATAAAAAAATGTGCATTTATGTATCTTATATTTGAAGTCATATCAAATTCTCTCATGTAAATATATAATACAAATAATAATATTTTTCTTTATAATTATAACTGATCTACAGAAATTTACATGAAAATATGGTCTACAAACAACAGTCTTTGGTGTATTCAGTAAGAGATCTATCCCTATGTTGATGCTTTTGCAAATGATTTGTTAATTGTTTGACATAAATAATTAGACTTATATTGTGTATGAAAATATCAAAAATACTGTTCTATTTAGATGATTAGAAACATTAAATATCACTTGATTATCCATAAAAATATTTAAGAGCAGCTATTTTTCAAGCAATCCTTACTTCAATAGTTTTAATTTTTCCTGTAAAAAAAAGTAAAAAATTAAAATTGAAATTTATTATGAATAAATTAATTATGATTGACGGTGTTTTTAAAAAAATCTAAAAATTTAAAATTTTATTCAGATATAACATTTATAAATTTTACTTTTTCACTTCATAAAAATTTAAATATCCACAAAATTGAATTTGGATTTATAGTTTTAGGGTCTATCAAAATTTAAACGTATATTTCGATAGGAAGTTAAGCCAAAAAATTTATCATTATTTTTTACATCTGAAATATTTTTTTATAAATATTGAGGTGTTTAAAATTTAGTATATTTTTAATTTCAGATACTAAAATATACTCAATTTTCATAACTTTTCTCAACTTTTAGTTTTAGTATCTATAAATACTCAGCTTCGTTACTTATAACTAACTTACGGATATAAACATAGAACTGAAGCCTCAACCTTGGAACGCCACAAGATTCACCTTCTTTGTCAGTAGTAAGAACATGCTTCTGTATCCGAAGCTTTGTCCAGATGTGATGACAAGTGATCTTCTACTCCCTGTTGCGAAATAGTAGACTCAAGATACAATGTAATTTCCAAGAGGGACAAATTTGTTCTACTCGATAACCATTAATCTACATAATTATTCTTTCTTGAAAACAGTAAACCAAAACATATTCAAACACAGTTCTTTACATCATCCTGAAAATAGAACATGGGTTTTACCGGCAATGACAGGGGAAGGATATTATCTGTTTTTGAAGCTATGTCAGGTAACTTCGAACCAGTCTATTTGAAGAGTCTGAGTATCTGATTCTTGAAGCATCCAAGCATGCAGATTTCATCACTTCACCTCCAGATAAACTGCATATGACTCGGAGCTCTTGAGTTGTTGGGAGCACGTGTTATAGGAAGAATGAGCTTCAATTATAGCTTATGACATTGATTTCTTCAGCAGATCTGAATCTATGAAGAAAAATATCGTGAACTCACTATTCTCTCCTGCTTTTGGTTTGTTGACAAGTAGCATCTCATCAGCACATCCCTTCAAGTTGAGTGTAGCCAGAATACAATTTTTGGAATCATAAATATTCCAAATATGGAACTTGGTTCTTGGTTCTTGGCTTTTGGCAATTGCTTTACGTTCCGTATCTTGTACGACGTACCCGAGTGGTAGACCTCTTGCTCGAGATCCAGTCGAAGTTTGTTAATCGATGAAGTTGTGTTAACTTCATCGATCGGCAGTAATCGCAAAAGACTGAGACTTTCCTTACATCACAGCTTTCAGTACATCTTAGATAATCTTCAGAGTTCAATGCAATATCGATCGAGTGGTTTCGGTTTCCTCGACGTTTTCATATTCGAGCTCTACAATGGCTACACCTTGGAGGAATTTAACAGTGGCAAATCTAGTAGTCTCCAGGTTACTGATGCTCCTGCACTCCATTGTAGCTCAAATTTTCGTGTAACACCGATCTTAAAAACACCAGACATCAGTGGTATTCTTCCAGTTTATGGAAGTGGGCTGCATAACAGGTCCTTAACAAGTTAACACCAGTTTATATCATTCTAAAGAGTCAAACAAGGTATAGAGCATAGTTATCGATTAAACCTATAATTTGACCGTCAAGTAGAAGGTCGCTTGCAAATGATGTATAGTCATGGTTAAGTTTCAAAACGAACGATGTGTTTCTTTAATGTGTCCAACCTGTCACGCAATCGATCAAAAACTGCTGTAATTTAGAGGGAATCTTTAAAGTTTTCTCTACTGACTGGTCTGATCAATTAGAAATTATTGTAAACATCATTCTGAATAATTCTGTAATTCGCTTGCAAATTATATATATTCCTGAATAATATTTTTCTTGAATGTGTCCAACCTATCACGCAATCGATCACAACTGTGACAATTAACTACCTCGATTGGTAGTAATCGCAAAACGCTGAGAATTTCCTTACATCCTTACATGTACATTAGTGTCGTAGTTCTTAATTGCATATCATTAAATGGTTGAATATGCTGCATGTAAAGATGAGATCATTCCTCATGCTCGAGTTCGAGACGGAGTTGGAAACTTAATTCGATGAGGATGGCTCCAGATGATGAATTGCTGAGACACTCGTCGGTACATACATGAGTTATCCGTGGTCTCGTAGATTGAGACGCGTTCTGCATACTCCTAGTTAAGATCTCATCTGATAGTACCAAAATCTGCTTACACAGTACAACTCTAGAATGACTAACCATTATGCCAATCGTTCTCCCTCGCAAAAAAATTCCAGCTCTTCTATCGAGAATCACACAATCACTCTTGTTCAGAAGTGGAAACCCTTGCTTTTCCTCGTGTTTCTGGAAAATACGAGACCTCTGACGCCCGTTCTAGACGGAAACCTTGTGAGATTTCACTTCATGTCACACACAAGGGCCTAAGGAGATGTTGATGCACCTAGTTTCTAGATAAAAGGCGTGTGACATGCTGCGTTCGCTTAGCGAGTTGATTACACCAAATCGAATACCTGCTGCTAAGATACACACTTATCTTTGTTATTGATGTACTGCTCAATTCTTACCCGTGACAAAACTCTTTAAACAGTTGATCCAAGACGGACTTACGGTAGGTACTCATAAGGGTTTTCAAATCTTCTATACAGGATGTAAATGGGAAAATATTCATTGGCCATTTCATAGGACGTATTGGTAGACAGATTTTTGTTTTGAAACAAAGTCCTTGTCAATTGTAATGAATTTGACAATTGGCTTCGGGAAGTGTCCGCCGAGATTCTGTAGCACTCATTTATTTCACGGGGATGAATCAAATTTATTGATGTAGTCTTCTGGATCCAACAAACCAGGACCATTTCTAGCATTCCTGTAACAAGCTTTTACGGCCTAACGAAGAACATTTTATGGCATCACCCTGAGAACTTTACAAGTTGCCCTAAACTTGAGGTTTTGGTTGTTCTTTTGATTTCATAAAATTCTTATTCTTCTCGGGGGTTTTGGGTATCATGAATATACACTTGTTGCAATATTTTACCTGGAGATACCCGTAAAATGTTGGCCATCGATTTTTGGCGTAAAACCTTAACGCGAAGACTAAAATCCCAAACCTTTCAAGGATTTGGGACACCAGATTTATAAGGAACAATCGCCTCCCGTTCAAGGACAGTTTCCGGGAAATACTCAATGCCCTTCAAAAAGCAGTTCCAAAAGATAGTCACTGTGTCGTAGAGGTCATTTGCATCTGGTAATAAGACCGTATGCATAGTCGGTGCTGAAGCCGAGTTGCCAGGAGAACCTAGTGATAACGCAAGGGATTCTTCGCCGAAGCTAAACAAAACCAAGGCAACATGCGATGTGTAGATTACCTGCGAGAATAAATCATCCGATCTGATCGACCGAACAAACTTAGGACACAAGCTTTTGCACATGCTTTCGGAATTCGGCTCCTGCTGCAACACAGAGATTGACGAAGTTGCAGCGAATGAACCAGAACTGGCGGGTCTTCGTCACGAAACAGATGCGTAGATTGTCATGCCCACAATAGCATACACGTGGATAACCAGAATCGCCAACTTCCTATCCCTGGAAAAGTCGTTCTGATCTAGAGGAATCTCATGGCTAATCCCTCGGTTATTGCACGGCATACAAATAAGTTTCCGCGGAGCCTCGATAAACACCCCCTTAACCAGATACCACAGATGAACGAACCGATTCTTGACCCCAACTTTGACGTCGCGGTACAGCTTGAACGTGGAGAAGATGCGGCTAGCGGCCTGGATGAAAACGAGAAGAAGACCCAAAATCGTGCAGACCGTCATGAGGGTCCGACTGTCCGGAGGCAGGTTGCCATAGCCCGCCCCGACGAAGGCTCCCACACCGGTCACGACACAGAAGATGAGGGGGACGACGAGCTGGGCCTGCTCGTCGGCGAAGAAGACGCGCAGAGACGCGGACGTGGTGTTGATGCTGCCGCCCGTGATGCGCTGCTTGTGCTGCTGCGTGGTGATGGTCGTGCCCAGGCAGGACAGGATCGTGTACATGGACAAGTAGAAGGACATGCAATTGTAGATCCAGAAGAAGTGCACGGCCCGTTTACGGTACCGGAATTCGGTATCGAATGGCGGTTGCAGCATAGCAGTGAATGTTACTCCTCCCAGCAGCGTGGCCGCGACCAGCACCGCGTTGACGGAGTTCTGGGCCCCATTCTCCATGCGGTTGACCTCGTTCATCAGTGGCTCGTTCCCCGGCTGGCGCTCGAGCACGTCGAGGACCGATTGCAGGTGTACCGAGCTGTTCCCGAATTGTAAGCTGCACGAGGATCGGAGCCAGGCCAGATCCAGCGGGAGGACGCCAGACTCGTTGTAGATGCTGGGCTGGAACCGGGGATGGTTGCATAACTTCATGACCATTCCACGCAGTGTCAAGGAGCTGCAGCAGCGAATTGCGAGGTGGAGAGGGGTGTCGGACACACAGGTCGCCTTGTAGAATCGGAACCGTGCGGATTTTGTCCGGATCCACCAGGAGTACAATGTCAGATCCGTCCATTGTGGGGGCGCGAGGTCGACTGCCGATTTCAGGACGGCGTTCACGTCCACTTCTCCGTGGGACATGAGGATGTCGAATGTCTCCATAGATTCCGCTCTGATGGCGCAGTGCAGAGGGGTCATTCCGCTGCCATCGGCTGTGAGGATGTTCACATTTGCCCTCGTGCAGCTGGAGAGGAGGTGCGAGAGGACCTCTGCGTTGTCTTGTGTGGCAGCCAGGTGGAAAATCGTGTGCCCTGCCATCGAGTAGTTGTACGTCAGGTACCAGTCTATCACACTGCTCTCTTTGGAATCAGTGTTAGGGGCCGAGAACACTTCAGAAGTAGAAATGCATTTCGACTGTGTATCTTGCTCCTTTGACTCTGTCTCTAACTTCTGTCTGTCCTCGGTTTTCTTTCCTTCCCAGTCTCCCTCTGATAAGCTTCCGTCCTTTTCTCTAGCTTTTTCCTCTATCTCCAGGTACTCGTCCTCCAACAAAGGAAAAGCCGGGTACTGCTCAGGCTGTTCCTTCCGAGGACCGCCGGAGACTTTCTGTAAAACCATGTCGCTCGGGAAAAATTTAATAGGGTACTCTGAGTCCCAGGGCAGAACGTTGAGCTTTGCGTCAGGGTCAGGACCAACGCGGTTGATTTGATCGGGGCATTGAGCAATCAATGTCTTGACCATGACCAATTTGCAGATTCCCTTGGGTTTCATTACCTCCATGAGCAAAGGAGTGAGGTTCTGAACAGAGTCTTCCGGGCATTTGTCGATAACGGGAAATTTAAGCAGTTCCTCGACGACCCTCTGGTGCCCTCCTCCTACTGCATAGTGCAAAGCTGTTCTGCCCAGCACGTTATCTCGGGCATTAACATCAGCACCAGGATTTTTCCAATACCAGTGAAGCAAGGATGTGACGATGGTTTCATGGCCCCCATAAGCGGCGAAATGCAAGGCCGTGTGTCCGTAGGATGTGGCCACGTCGATCTTCTGTTTACCCACTGCAAGAATTTTTAACACTTCATCTTCGTTCCCCTGGGCTGCTGCCTTATGCAGTTCAGTGTAGCCTCCGACTGTGGTCTCATTCGCACCTGCACGATTAATTTCGTGTCCCATTCTGTCTGGAATTTGCTTCTATAGGACACAATCCTTCAAATGAACATCCAGAAATGTCCCAGGGTGAAATCAACACAGGCTTCAGAAACACTCACTTCACCTCGTCGAGCGATATGGAGGCGTGAAATTCTCGATGATACCTTGGGTAAGGCGAGGGCACGCGGCAAGCAGCGACGTCTTGGTCCTGTCGATGTCAGACGACTCGACGACATGCGTCAAATTTGAGTCGCCTTTTCTGTTGGCAGCCTTCTCTGGCGTTGGACAGAAACAAGACTGTGTTCCACAGCTGAGGCCTCCATCAAGGCCATCGCCGTAGTCGAAGCTTTAAGATCGGGCCCCAGAGTCTGTACCATCCACATCTGAAAGCATGGAGGCACTGATTTTTGTAATCCCCGTGGCCCTACAATACTCCATCTTTGTGAAACATGGAGAACGTACAGACACTCGCCGGAGGCACCTGCAGATGCGCAGACAATCAACTAGTCTGACCTGCGTCCGACGTCAACCCAATTTGATTCATGCGAAGGAAACAACAGGCGATTTTTTCAAATTTTTTTGACCCCTCGAGCCATGGCCGCACATGGATCCGCCCGGCGGTAAACTTCCAGATGAAGCATCGACCCAATCTACTTATTGTCTCACACACTATATATAACGAAGAATGGAAAAGAGTCATACTGCTCAGTAAGAAGTTTTCCGGGAGAACTCGTACGAGTCCCACTCTATCAATTGCATGATCCGCAACCACCTCGTTGCGATCGTGCTGTCTTATTCCTTATAGCAGTGCCTCCGGTCAAGGAGACCAATTTGGCTCCGGATGACTTGTTAAGAATCCAGACATTATTTTATTCAAGTGTGAGGCAGAGTCTGACAGGCTTTACCCCGAGATGCGAAAACATTTGGTTCATGGGGGAACTTTCGAGCTCATTACGGCCCTTTCCATGCTCAAGATGAGACAACAGTCGAACTGCTTAGACCCAAATCAGAGCAGTAGACACCAGTTAATGATTTGAATACAGCACAAAACGCACGTACACAAAAGCTTGGAGAGTTGGAAGATTTCTGGGAGAACTCGTACGAGTACGACGATATGAATTGCGAGGATTGTGACAATGTCCTCGCAATCCACTTCTTTACGGATCGTGCTGTCTTATTCCTTATAGCAGTGCGTCCGGTCAAGGAGACCAATTTGGCTCCGGATGACTTGTTAAGGATCCAAACATTGTTTTATTCAAGTGTGAGGCAGAGTTGGCAGGCTTTACCCCGAGATGCGAATACATTTGGTTCATGGGGAACGTTCGAGCTCATTACGGCCCTTTCCATGCTCAAGATGGGAGAAAGTGGACAGTGGAAGAACAGAAGTATTCATGCACAGTGCGATCAATCTCAACTTACCGAAACTCATCACTGTAAACTCCGAGACAAAAAGGTCGAAATGACAGACCCGAGTTTTCACTCTGGGACCTATTTCCTAGATAACTGCGAGTCCCTCTACAATTTGCGAAGTAGACTTTAAGTACAGTAAATGCACGGCAGGAGATTGCAGGGACTTGTTTCGCCAGTACTTTCGCCACCGCGGTCAACATCGGACGCCTGGTACTGCGTAAGGACTTGCTTTGATTTGAAGTTAAGTAATACAGAGAGACACTTTGAGCTAGTGTCTCTTCTCCAGTAGGGCGAACCTTTCAAAGACAAGTTTCATGTCACTGAGATTTTCGTAGCTAAAATATAATGAGTAATATATAGGTTTCAGATTTACTGTCTCTAGTGTTCTTGTTTATTAGAATTTGATATATGGTGCACTTTCTTTTCCACCATCATCACAACATGAGCATAATGTGACACATTATGCTCATGTAGTGATGATCAAAAGGAAAGCATGTGTGTAAGGAAAGCGAATACTAAATGTGTGTAAGTAAAGTACAGTTTATTGTGGTCAGCTCCTCTGCGTGCGCATAGAGTGTTTCTTGTGCACCAGGTCTTGACTACCATGACTCAATTACCTGCTCCTGCCACAAGTGTCTTGAGAAGTACTTTGACTTATCGGTGCTCAACAAGACAGACCCTAAAAATTCCCCCTCAATGATCCACTAATGCAAGATGATCAAGGAGGATATCACGGCGCGATTTCATGAAACGATTTTACGATTGAATGTGGAATTTTGTGTATAACTGTTTCAGCATTTTGCTGGTTCTGCTTTTCTGCCTTGAAGTCTGTTGACCTTAGATCTCTTCGAGACTCAATCCTACCTCTATCGAAAGTGCACAGATTCCTACGCACTGTTAACCTGGGAGTCTACTAGTGAGGCCATCACTTCTGGTCATAATCGTTATAGTTCAGCTTCTAGGGCCTTTAACCTGGAAATCATTCAGAAGCAGAGACCAAAGCTCAGGTCTACTTTAGGAAAGGAAAGTATCATTGGAAGAGAGTTATGATGTGCAGTATGCATATTAATATTTTCAAGTCTATAGTTGGGATAGTTGATCCTTGTAACTTGACATAGAAGGCCTTATTGACTCTAGCTAACTGAATCATGGTTTTGCAACATTCTTCACACTTCTAACGATATGATAATCCACATTAGTTGGAGGTAACCATGTGTCTTTGGGCATTGGCGAACTTTACATGATATTTCACATTTGCTTATTTTGTGGATAGACGTTGAGAACAAATTTTATCAATCTGATTGCATCTATATATAAATGACCTTCGTATGTTATCTATAAATATCATGCTTCATAAATAACAGCTTCAATAATTTATTGCTAAGGAATGTGTAAAATATAATGATAATTTTTTGGAAAAAATTTTACAGATAAAATTTTCCAAATATAACATAATTTATTTTTTCACCATATATACACCAAAATATATACAAAAAAGTTTGAATGAAAAACTAAATCATATATATTTTGATAGACAATTTATTTGAAAACTTTATCATTACATTTTACATCTGAAATATGTTTTTAGTGTTAAAAAGTTATAATTTAATATATTTGTGATTCAAGATACTAATATACACTCACCTATGATACCTTTTTTCAACTTCTAATTTTAATATTTATAATTACTCAACTTCGTTAATTATAAACAACTTACGAATATGAACGTAGACGATCTTATAGACATCCCACTTAGACGATTGAGACAATGACAGTACACTAGGAATGTTCATAATAACCCCGGACAATTCATGCGTTGAATAAAAGGTGTAAAGATAACGAATATTCTCGAAGGTAGCAGGACATGCCAGTCAGACCGGATTACGCCTTCACAGGCGTCATCACCAGAGAATCTTACGTGTAACAATAGCAGGGAAATACGACCAGGCTCTCAACCAGGAGTCAAGCCTTGATTCATATAGCAACGCACATAAATGCGAGAGGCTTTTAAATTATACAAATTTGTCATCAGAATGCACAAATTAATATACTACTTGAAGAAGGCTAGGAAGCATCTATATATGCCTTGGCAAGGCGGTTGCAATCAAACTTAAAATTGAAAGTCAGGCCATCTTCATCTACTTACACTAAACAACGCCAACTGCACTTAGTGTGCGCCAAGGCCTGAACTTGTGATGAGCATGAGCATGAGAAGGTAATAATTGGGTTCTTTAACTGATACACAACTACTGAAACCAGAGATGAGGACGTACTGTTATCCGTCGTGGTAGTCTCATCAGGGCCAGGGCTTTTATGCTTAGGTGGCTCTCCAAATGAAGTCATACCACCTGTTCCAATCGCGGTGGCTGTAAGCCTCCGTCGGGCACCTTCAACTGCATCGACATTTCGACTTTGGGCGTCACGACCTTCTTGCCCTCCTGCGCGACATAAAAGAACATTGAAAAGGAATACATGAGTGGGGAAAGGCAATATTAAGACATCTTCAAAGGTGATCACGGATAGAAGACATGAATATCCAAAGCGCGCAGTATAGTAATATACTTAAGTCCGAAACTTTGATGCCAAAGGCAAAAATGAAAAGTGACTACACCTAGAAACAAACCTGCTGCCCTGTCTGCAGCGGCTACGGCTGCTTTTGCACCGCTTCTAGTACCATCAGGTCCAGGCTGCAAAGATTTTGGGACAATTCAAGTTAGTCGAACTGCACCATTTGCGAACATAAAAAGATATACATACATATTTGACTAGACACAGTGAAGTACGCAGGCTAGGTTCGACAATATAAAGGGAGAACAGAGAGACTCACGACTGATGGGGGTGCTGCTCCAGCAATTTGGGATTGCTGATATTTCAAAATCGTCCAGTCGAACACATAATCAAACTGAAAACCTTCAAGACTCAAAAATGCCCAAAGTAGACCCCAACAATCCACTCAAGTGTAACAAAGGTAGAGCATTCTGCGCAGTCATTCTCCAGCTCACAGGACAGTCACGCAGCAACAAGAGAGCTTCCTCACACTTTCCAGTGGCGTAAAACGACGTGTCCTTCACGGATGAAGAGATCTCGAAAAATCCTCTTCAAGTATGCATAGTCTGGCTTATCATCGAGGCGTAAGGAGCGACAGTAGTGAAAGTAGGATGCAAATTCTGACAGATGTGACTTGCAAAGAGCCTGAAATGAGAACCAAATTCGTGATAAGCAAAGTGATGAATTTGATGAACATTCTGCAGTTCCAAACAAAATTCAAGTAGGAAAAGCATAGCGTACCTCAATAGCAGTTGACATCTTCTTCTCACTGATCTTCTCGTACTTTTGCTTCTTAGTTCCAACCTTCAATCCTTGCCATGGAAGACTGCAGTTTCAGAAAAGTTGTTAGACACTACGTTGTATTCGGAGGGGTATCGGACACGCAGGTCGCCTCGTAGAATCGGAACCGTTCGTATTTCTTCCGGGTTCACCGGGAAGTGCAATGTCAGTTCCGTCCATGGCGGCCGCGCGAGGTCGACTGTCGAAATTCAGGACAGCGTTCACGTCCACTTCTCCGTGGGACATCAGGACGTCGAATGTCTCCATGGATTCCGCTCTGATGGCGCAGTGCAGAGGCGTCATTCCGCTGCCATGGGCTGTGAGGATGCCAACATTTGCGCTCGGGCAATTAGAGAGGAGGTACGAGAGGTCCTCTGCGTTGTCTTTTGTGGCAGCCAGATGGAAAATCATGTGCCCTGCCATCGAGCAGTTGTACGTCAGGTAGTGGACTATCACTAAGCCCTCTCTGGAATTTCTGTTAGGGGCCGAGAACAAGTGATCAATAGAATTGCATTTCGCTTTTTTATCTTGCATCATTGACTCTGCCTGCAACTTATGTCTATCCACGGTGCCCATTCTTTCCCACATTCCCTTTAATGGGCTTCCGTTAGTTCTTCTCATATCTTTCTCTATCGCCCGGTACTTCCCGGACTTCCGATCCTCCTGCTCGGAAGTCCCAGACTGTTCCTTAGGACGAGCGCCAGATACTTTCTGTAAAATATTGTCGCTCCGGAACAATTTAATAGGGCACGGTTGCAGCCAGGGCTGGATGTCGATGACCTTTGCGTCAGAACCATTTGATTTGATCAGGCCACGTATCAATTAATGTCCTGACCATGACCAATTTGCAAAGTCCCCTGGGCTTCATTACCTCCATGAGCAAAGGAATGAGGTTCTTAACAGAGTCTTCTGGGCAAATGTCTTTACCGGGAAATTTAATCAGTTCCTCGACGACCCTCTGGTGCCCTCCTCCTACTGCATAGTGCAAAGCTGTTCTGCCCAGCACGTTATCTTGGGCATTAACACCAGCAGCAGGATTTTTTCCATACCAGTGAAGCAAGGATGTGACGATAGTTTCAAGGCCTCCATAAGCCGCGATATGCAAGGCCGTGATGCCGTCCGATGTGGCCACTTCGACCTTCAGCTTACCCACTAGAAGAATTTCATCCACTACATCTTTGTGACCCATGGCTGCTTCATGATGCAGTCGAGTGAAGCCTCCGACTGTGGTCTCATTCGCACCTGCACGATTATAATGCTGCGGGAAGATTGTCTCCTTAATTTCGTGTCCCCTTCTGAAGGGACACGAAATTCTGCCCTATAGAAGCAAATCTATAGGGCAGAATCCTTCAAAGGAACATCCAGAAATGTGCCAGGGTGAAATCAACACACTTCACCTCGTCGAGCGACATGGAGGCGTGAAATCCTCGATGATACCTTGGGTAAGGCGAGGGCACTCGGCAAGCAGCGATGTCTTCGTCCTGTCGATATCAGACGACTAGACGACATGCGTCAAATTCTAGTCGCCTTTCCTGTTGGCAGCCTTCTCTGGCGCTGGACAGAAACAAGTCTGTGTTCCACAGCTGAGGCCTCCATCAAGGCCATCACCGTAGTCGAAGCTTTAAGATCGGGCCCAAAGTCTGTACCATCCAGACCTGAAAGCATCGAGGCTCATGATTTCTGTAATCCTCGTGCCCCTTAAATACTCCATCTTTGTGAACCATGGAGAAAGTACAGACGCTCGCCCGAGGTACCTGGAGATGCGCAGACAATCAGCTAGTCTGACCTGCGTCCGAGCTCAACCCGATTTGATTCATGCGAAGCGAAGGAAACAGCAGGCGATTATAATTTTTTAGTCCTCTCGAGCCATGGCCGCATATGGATCCGCCGGCGGCAATCTTCCATATTAAGAATCAACCTAACCTACTTATTGTTTCACGCACGATACATAACGAAGAATAGAAACAGTCAATCTGCTCAGACCCATATCAGGGTAGCAGATTCCAGTTAATGATTCGAATACAGCCCAAAACGCATGTACGCAAAAGCCTGGAGAGTTGGTGGAATTCCGGGAGAACTCGTACGAGTCCCACTCTATCAATTGCACGATCCGCAATCCACCTCGTTGCGGTTCGTGCTGTCTTATTCCTTATTGTAGTCCGTCCCGTTAAGGAGACCAATTTGGCTCGGGATGACTAGTTAAGGATCCAGACATTATTATATTTTAGTGTGAGGCAGAGTCTGTCAGGCTTTACCCCGAGATGCCAAGACTTTTGGTTCATGGGAAGCTTTCGAGCTCATTACGGCCCTTTCCATGCTCAAGATGAGAGAACAGTCGAACTGCTCAGACCCAAATTAGAGCAGCAGACTCCAGTTAGTGATTTGAATATAGCACAAAAAGCACATACCAAAAAGCTTGGAGAGTTGGAAGATTTCCGGGAGAAGTAGTACGAGTCCCACGATATGAATTGCGAGGATTGTGACAATCTCCTCGCAATCCACTTTTTTACGGATCGTGCTGTCTTATTCCTCATTGCAGTCCATCCGGTCAAGGAGACCAAGTTTGCTCGGGATGACTAGTTAAGGATTCAGACATAATTTCATTCAAGTGTGAGGCAGAGTCTGGCAGGCTTTACCACGAGATACGAAGACTGTTGGTTCATGGGGAACTTCCAAGCTCATTGCGGCCCTTTCCATGCTCAAGATGAGACAGTGGAAGAACAGAATTACTCATGCACAGTGCGATCAATCTGAACTTGCCGCAACTCAGCACTGTTAATTCCTACACAAAAAGGTCGAAATGACAGACCCGAGTTTTCACTCTGGGACCTATTTCCCACATAACTGCGAGTTCCTCTACAATTTGCGAAATAAATGCACGGCAGGAGTTTGCAGTGACTTGTTTCTCCAGTAATTTCGCCAACGCGGTCAACATTCGACGCCTGGTACTCCGTAAGGACTTGCTTTGATTTGAAGTTGGGTGATACGTGTAGTACATTCAAGTCAAAAACTATTACTAGTCACTAGCAGAGAGACACTGGTAGCTAGTGTCTCTTTTCCAGTAGGGCGAACGTTTCAAAGACATGTTTCATGTCACTGAGGATTTCGTAGCTTTAATATAATGAGGAATACATAGGTTTCAGATTTCACTGTCTCTAGTGTTCTTGTTTATTAGAATTATTGCATGGCGTAGATGGCGAGTCATGCGCTGTTGGTTGACAACACACACACAACTTTGATGAAGTTGACGACTTCATTGTGGGAGCAAACCCGCAGGGGAGAATTGTGCAGAACATCGTAAGTGCAGCTAAGTATGTTGGGTGTCAGCCGAAATGAAGCGTCACATGCCACGTATCCTACCGCCTACTGAAACACAATGGTTTTTGACTGAAAAATAGTGACCGAATAAGCATAACTAGTGGTACCCTTGTCATTCTTTTGCTTCTCCACGCGCTGAAATCAATATAGCGCTCGGTCTTTTGCCAATGTTAACCTTTTGAGCACGTTGGCAAATTACAGCATTAAGCTCAGCCTCACTGCCGAATGCGAGCTATCCTCTGCGTCACTATCCTAATCTACTTCAACGACATCACCCGGATCGAACATCATGTCACCAACAATCACGTCCACGATATACTTCTCCATGTCGCACGAAATTTGCCGGGTAGCACAAAGAGATGAAGACAGAAAATACTCCTTAATAGAGTTTATGAACACGACCGGTGCATCGTCAAAGAAGGCATTTCGATCATCAGCTAAATTGATGCGGTTGTACACAGTCCTCTTTCTAGGATGTTGAGGACTAAAGTGATTTTTGATATTGTCATAACCGAAAGGGCAGCACCATCCATGCACATCAGTCGAAGGTCTGCGCTTCGCATCCACCTTCTACTCGCGGTCAAAGCCAATGTAGAACATGCATTGTAGATTATTGACCTGCTTGCCATTTGGCGCCCTAGAGCACACTCTTAAACCAAGTCACAAGTCATTGGCCTTGAGGTAATCACTCGCACGGTTAATCGCCATAAAATCTATCACTCTTCTGGATGAAAACAAATTTCACATCGTTCTTGACGGATAAGACGAACACAGACTTATCCCTCTCCTCGAAGAAGCCCGCTGGAACCAAAGCAAACACACCGAACAGTACATAGACCAACCCCGCAAATCCTACACAAATCTCCACGCAAAGCAGCAACCCATCGTACGCGCTGAAAACATTTCTTCATCCGACTTGCCCATCGTCCGGCTTCACACCAAATCATTTGATACACTCAAGCAATCCATCGCTTGATTGCCTCTAGTCGGAGCTTCGAATCTTCGCTTCGGATTTCATCCCGCCCAGCAGACGAGAACACACTCTCAAAAACAAAGCTACACCTCTCGAACTTCACAGCGCGCTCACACGGAAGTAACACCAAAACAAGAACGGTCGAATCAGTTAAGAGGAAAATAACACCGAAACAAGAAATGTCAAATCCATTGACAGGTCCAGAAACAAGAAATGTGGAGTCAGTTGACAAGTCAATGTCTATTGATTCAAAATCACCAGTTTATCTCTGACAAGTAACCCACAAGTTGTTAACGGCGATTTCACATGAAGGCGCGACGGCCTAACCTACTTTAGGTCTTTTAGGCGTCACTGCCGCCGAACGCCTACATTAAGCAAGTCGGCTCAATATCAATTTTGGAGGTAGCTATGTAATCTTTGCTTGATCGTAGAATCCACAGTTTTGTAAAGCGTGTTGTGATTACTACAAACTCATTTCGATAATCGAAACTGCAAATTTTCCGGTATCGCGAACTTCTCTTGACGACTGTTATCTATTGAGCAGGTCTCGATACGAATATGGCGTGGCACAGTTGCATGGCTGTAACACCTCGGTTGTTTTTTCCATGTTATCCTGCTTGCTTGTGATCAAAGTGTACTTGGGAAGGAGAAGTACTGCAATGTGGCCACAAAACCTGTGCACGCAGCTTGTGGTATGTATATGGCTAGTTATAAGAGTGGTCTCTTTGCATGTGTGTAAGTGATGGATGGTGAAGATGGACTTTGATGAATGCAAGATAATGCTCCAGCTCCTGCCCCTGTTGCTGCTGCATCGATAGGTTCATCTCCCACTCTCGAGGCCATTCTAGCGATCAAAAACAGCTCTTATTGTCAGTACAAGCAACTCGAGCGTGACAGGAGAAACATTCTTGATTTCGATTCGACTTTCGCTTCTCCCCCTACGCTTGAAATTTTAAAGTTCAGCGATCCTCAAACACGGACCGAACACGGTTTCAATTGGGTTGTGGTCAATATGAAGTGTACTGAGGAGGAGATGAAGATGAAGATTTGAAGTGACCTCACTCACTTGGCCGTTCATGGTCCAAGATTATTACCGATGCCGAGTTCCTTGCACCTTCGTTCGATTGGTACTAAGAGATGAACGAGCTGGAGTACGCATTGCGCTCTTGAATCGATTTTGCTACTATGAAACTAATGAATCTGGAGTCATCAGACTTCTTCAAGTTTAGAGACATGTCTGAGTTAAGTCTTGGTGTGACGGAGGTCTTGCCCAATGTTCATGGGCGAGGCTTTACAGCGAGACCTGAAAAGTATCCAAAAACAATAGATGAAGCGTAAATCCTTGCGCTCGAGGGTGAGCTCGAGGTCCACGTTCGGAGGATCGAGCGCATCGTGGAGTAACTTCAGTTCCGGACTCTGAAGTCCGAAAGGGAGTCTTCAATCTCTGAGTTGTGTGACGAGCGACTGCATTTGAGGGAGGGACAATCTAACTGAGCTGCATGTCCACTGCGTGCATCCGGATCATCGTGTGGCGAATGGGAGTCCCCTTCTGCCTTTCCCCTTCGCCACCAGCAACGGAGACTCGTCCACGCATTGCGCTAAACCATCGGACGAAACGCCGTCTGTAGTGGGCAAATCGCGAGTCAGCAATGGGTTGGTTGGGACGCTGGCCAGTCTCAAAGAAATTCTGAACGCTCAAGAAACCTCCGCACAGAAATCAAGGGTTAGGGTGCGTTTAGAAGTGGCAGTTGGAGCTGAATTTAGCTTTCTGGACACCAGGGTGTTTGTAAAAGACAGGCTCCATACTGTTAGCTGGTACTATCTTTTTGCCATACATATGGAAAGGAAATGTAGCTGCTGAAGAGAAAGGAATTTTGGAGTTAGTATCATTGAAGGGATAAGCATATCGGAGTAGGAAGTTCAGCTAGAAGCTATGGAGGGTGGACTTTTGATGTCCTCGTGCCATGAGAGGACGTATCAACTTTACGAATTTTCTTTCGTGGGAGTAGTGAAACAGACGGCTATGGTGGTGGCTCTTCAAGTGTACGACTCGGTAGTTCAATCTGGAGTTTCCGCCAAGACCTTGGAATGGTATGATGAAGAAAGGATAGAGACATTGTATGCACTTAGAACATTGTCAGCAGGTCAACAAAAGACTGCTGCTGATTTTGTGGGAAAAAATTCTGTGAACGTGGAGGAAGCACAAGAACTTGCCAGGGCAATCAAAGACCACGAAAGAAGACCTCAGGATCGAGAGCGATTTACAACGGTGGCAGGAGTTTGCCTAGAGTACATGTGCTATTGAGGAACAGGGGACTTTCAGTAAAAGGCAAAATAAATTTAATCGAGTTTTATGTGAGCAAACTGCAGTAAACAGTGTGTGAATCCGAAGTGAGACCATCTCTAATTCAGGGACGCAGGTACAACACAAAACAGAGGGGAATGATAATGAGCTATCATCAGCACAAGCAATATCTGCGGACATTTACACCAAGTCACATAGCATAGTGAAAGTGAGAATATGAGAATTTATGTAGAACGAAAATTGGTTGAAGAAGAGTAACGAGAAATTGAGCAAGCGACAGATGTACCTTCGCAGGATTTGAAACGAAATCTGCAATCATTAGCTTGTGCGAACGTCTTGAGGAAGGAGCCGATGAGTAAGGATATCAATGAGGACGATGTGTTTATTTCAACGACAAGTTTCAGAGAAAAGCTGATAGGCAGAGCTCGACAGTATTGGAAGCAGGTGATACTACTAAGGACATTTTAGTAAGCTCTCGGCCTGAAGAAACAGATACGACCATTGCGAGGTTAGGACTGAAGATACATAAGACAAGAATGAACTTTCTGCTAATGAACTTTACACTAACCTGATCCAGGACCTTATTGTATTGTCAAATTTTCATGTATCTTTTCACATCCGGGAAAAACAAACAAATAAAAGATTGTTATAAATTGTGATTCCAAATCTCTGAGATATTAACAAAGATTGATTCTCATGAACGAAATAACTTGAATGAAAATAATTGAATAAATTTTACGAATTTAATATACGATTATTATACAAAATCGAGTCAAATTTATTTCACAACTCGAATATTTTAAATCGATATTAAAAAAATACAATAATAAATACTTCAAAAATTATGCATAACACTAAAAAAATCAACTTTTAATGCGTAACTTGAATAAGTACTTTATAAATATTACTTTGATAAAATTAAAAAATAAGCATAAGATAGCGACATTATTAATATAATAATACCTATTTTGCTAAGAATACCAAAGTAACCCTTCATTATCAAGAATGAATGATATTCTATATATAAAGATATGATTAAGAAACAAATATAAAAAAATTTAATAAAATCTATAAAACTCAAGTTAAATGCTAAATTATCAAAGTTAATATTGTTAGTCTGAATGTCTCGAGACCTAATGTAGATGTTTATCCAGCTCGCCATGACGAAAGCTATCATTCCGTAATGGATAGAAAATATGAGGGAAAGGACAGGCAGGGCCCGAATATCGTTGGGGAAGACGGGGACAGATGTCCACGGAACGTCGATGAAGCGGCCCGGGAGGTGAAGAAGCCTGTGCTGCTGCAGGGTTTTGGACGTGACCAGGCAGCTCACGATCGTGACCATGGAGAAGTAGAAGGATATCGTATTGCTCAACAAGAAAAGCAAATATTCCACCTCTACACTTCGATCAACCTCATTGATTGGCCCTTGGATTATAGCACTGAATGTTACCCCTCCAAGCAGCACAGCCGCGACCAGCACGGCGTTGACGAAGTTCTGGGCACCCGTCTTCATGCTGTTGACTTCGTTCATGAAGGCCTGGTTAATCGGGTGGCGCTCGAGCATGTCGAGGACTAAGTTCAAGTGGATCGAGCTGTCCCCGAATGGCAAGCTGCACGAGGATCGTAGGCAGGCCAGATCCAGCGGGAGGACGCCGGACTCGTTGTAGATACTGGGCTGGTACCGGGGATGGTTGCAGAACTCCGTGACCATTCTTCGCAGAGTGAAGGAGCCGCAGCAGCGAATTGCGAGGTGGAGAGGGGTGTCGGACACGCAGGTCGCCTCGTAGAATCGGAACCGTTCGGATTTCTTCCGGGTCCACCAGGTGTGCAATCTCAGTTCCGTCCATGGCGGCCGCGCGAGGTCCACTGTCGATTTCAGGACTGCGTTCACGTCCACTTCTCGGTGGGACATCAGGACGTCGAATGTCTCCCTGGATTCCGCTCTGATGGCGCAGTGCAGAGGGGTCATTCCGCTGCCATCGGCTGTGAGGATGTTCACATCTGCGCTCGGGCAATTGGAGAGGAGGTGCGAGAGGACCTCTGCGTTGTCTTGTGTGGCAGCCAGGTGAAAAATCGTGTGCCCTGCCATCGAGCATTTGTACTTCTCGTAGCGATCAATGTTCTCTCGTATCATTAACTCTTCATCCAACCTCTGATTGTCCTCGGTGCCCATTATATTACACTTATCTGAGAGAAAGTGGATAAGCTTAGATAAGCTTCCATTAGATAAGCTTCCATCGGTTCTTCTTCTCTTTTCCTCTATCGCCTCGTACTTACGTACCAGGCGATACTTCTTCCGATTGAAGAATCGGTATAAGTACCAGAAGATAGAAGTCCCAGACTCTTCATTCGGAAGAACGCTGGAGATATTTTTTAAAACATCGTCGCTCGGGAACAATGGCAGCCAGGGCAGTTTGGCATTTAATGTCAGGGCAGGACCAACTGCGCGTTTGATTTGATCAGAGGGCAGATGAGCAACTAATGTCTTGACCAAGTCCAAACTGCACTTGTCCCTGGGCTTCATTACCTCCATGAGCAAAGGAGTGAGGTTCTGAACAGAGTCTTCTGGGCATTTGTCGATATTGGGAAATCCAACCAGTTCCTCGACGACCCTCTGGTGCCCTCCTCCAACTGCATAGTGCAAAGCTGTTCTGCCCAGCACGTTATCTCGGGCATTAACATCAGCATTAACATCAGTTCTATACCAGTGAAGCAAGGATGTGACGATGGTTTCATAGCCTTTATAAGCGGCGATATGCAAGGCCGTGATGCCGTCGGATGTGGCCACTTCGACCTTCAGATTACCTTCTTTGAGAATCGCGTCTACTTTATCTTTCTCCTCGTTGGCTGCTGCTTGATGCAATTCAGTGAAGCCTCCGACGGTGGTCGCATTCGCACCTGCACTATTCGGAAGCTGTCGGACTGTCCCATCGTTTATCGGCAGAAACACGTCACCGCTGCCCAAGCTTCGTTGCTCAGGCTGCGATCCCTCGATCGACGGATGTGTGGAACCCTCCTGAGAAGCCTCTATTTCGTGTCCGTCGGATGTGGCCACGTCGACCTTCAGTTTACCCACTGCAAGAATTTCTAACACTTCATCTTTGTTCCCCCCGGCTGCTGCCTTATGCAGTCGAGTGAAGCCTCCGACTGTGGTCTCATTCGCACCTGCACTATTCGGAAGCTGTTGGACTGTCCCATCGTTTATCGGCAGAAACACGTCACCGCTGCCCAAGCTTCGTTGCTCAGGCTGCGATCCCTCGATCGACGGATGTGTGGAACCCTCCTGTGAAGCCTCTATTTCTTGTTCCATTTTGTCTGAAATTTTCACCTGCAGATGCGCAGACCAACAACTAGTCTGACCTGCGTCCGAGGTCAACCCAAATTAAGTCATGCGAAGGAAACAGCAGGCGATTCTAATTTCCTAGATCCCTCGAGAAATGGCCGCTTATGGATCCGACCGGCGGCAAACTTCCATATTAAGCATCGACCTTATCTACTTCTTGTCTCACACACGATACATAACGAAGAATAGAAAACAGTCAAACTACTCAGACCCAAATCAGAGCAGCAGACTCCAGTTAGTGATTTGAATACAGCCCAAAACGCACGTACCCAAAAGCTAGGAGAGTCGGAAGCTTTCCGGTGGGACTCGTACGAGTTCTCTCGGAAAGCTATCGTACGAGTCCCACGATATGAATTACGAGGATTGTGACAATTTCCTCGCAATCCACCTCGTTACTCACATGAGAAAATTGGACAAATTCGTGGTTTCGGTGCAAAGCTCTTATACCCAGAGTCCAGGGTTCAGCGAAAAGAATCCGCGGGTCCAGGCCCGGAAAGTGACGGCCCCACGAACCAACGCCACGCGTTCCGAGCACAGATATACGCACAGCTTTCGTGGATACTAGACATTGACTAGGAGACAAATTAAAGGTCAGAGGAATCATTTATCACTGGCACGCAATTCCGTACTATTGCGCGCTACATTGACTTCGGGATTTGATATAGTCCGTATGTAGGCTCGAAAATCGAGGAGACTGCTTTTACCTCCCTTGTCAGTGGAATTTTGTTATCATCATTTTTTTCATCTTCAGAGGTAAGCCTCTTGTCTTTCGTAGTCACTTACTACCATAGGGTAGAGCCTGCACTGCGATGTGAATTGCAGCAACCGAAGCATAATCTAAGAAGATATATTCCGCAGCAAAGAATCATACACTCGAGCGATTTGAATATGTTAATAGTTTCTCAACCCTAGCTAGCCTTGGCTGCAGTTCTGAGTGGTGGAAGGTCTGCAGGTGTCCGCGTAATTTGACACTAGATATATCATTGAGAAAAGGTCCGGCAGGGATTGGCAAGGTCAGTTCAGTTTTATACGGACAATTGAGAAGTTCAGTACGACTTCTTCCAAATTCTTGCTCAACACGGTTGATCAGCATAACAACATGACTGGTATGGCACGCTGTTATCCCATACCAGGATTGATAGCAGGAGGAAGAGGAAATGCAGGAGACTTAAAGCTACCTGATCACAACTGCTTGAATTGTTCTTACCCAATGAAACGCCAGCAATTTAGGTGTTGTTGTTAGAAAGTAGTACTCTCTATAGTTACAGTACTTTCAAAGTACTGTAATTCATCCCACCATTTGCTACGCTTAAATTGTCCACCCAGTTTTTAATTCACTCCAACTTTGATCCCTTTCCTATAGCGCTCCGGTGCAGGTTAGAAGCAAGACCACCTCCAGCAGGATGACCTTTCCGCAGCCAGCCATGATTGTGATTGACTACCTTCTGCAGATAATTAATCTTCGAAGATGTTCAATTGTTGTATTCATAGGGAGCTGACATATTTCCATTTAAAATCTGCGACTGGACTTGGTATCTGCAAGTTGAATGAAGCTTGTAGAGAGTAGGAAAACGTCTTAATTTTTATGCATTCTAAATTGTTTATGATTTAAAGCCCAAGAGAGGTTGGCTATGATTAATCTCTTTAGTTCATGTTTCTTCAAAAACCAACCTGTCTTTTATGAGTTTTGTGGTTTTGGCATATATACTTTTTTATCTAATTTGTGAAAAATTCATATTCATATTTCATAAAGATGAAAAAGAATAAGGATCTCAATAAATCATCATAAAAAAAAATATGTAAGTCATCTCATAATGTTGTGATTAGCATTATGACGTACATTTATAAAATTTTAAGTAACAAAGTTTGATGCAAGCTAAAAAATGGTGAGACAAATATTAATATGACATTAATGTCATTAAATAAATAAATAAAATTTCAACTGTTGAAAGTAAAGTATGCTAGAGAAGACATTGTGATTTTAATTCTAATGAAAAATACTACTAATTATAAGAAAATTTTTCAATTTTTTTGAAAATAAAATCTGAGCACAAATAAATGAGTTTGACATCTTTCATCATACTTCACGCTATAATTTGAATAGTCGTGTTATTCTTTAGAAAAAATATAACCCTTCATCAAGCACTCATATTTATGATAAAAAAAATGCGCAAGATTCAATATTTAGTGAGATGTAGTTATTCTTCTCAAGCACCAAAACTCAGATAAGTTATATACCAAACAACATATGATGAGTTAAGTTAAAAGACATTTTATTGATGCAAAATATGATAAAAAAAAGTCTGATCAATTTATTTGTGATTGAGATTGCAGCTCAACCGATTGGAACTAAAATTTGAAATGATATTTAATCTGTTTAGATTCTATCAATCACAAAATATTCTTTTTCTTCAAATGCATGCAAATAAAGTTTCAAGCTCACTGCAATAATCCTATTTTTTTTTTAGACTTCTTAATTAAACACAAATATATTTCTTGCATTGTTTTCCCCTTATGTCATCTAGAAATTTAATCTAGTAAAACTATAAAGTTGTTAATGATAAGTTTTTATATCGATATTGAGTGAATTGACATTATAACATTCCAAAAATACAATATCCTGTAGATTCGTGATAAAGTATCAAAAAATCATTGAAGATAAAACTCAATGACAGTAAGCTTGGATTCAAGAATCTATTTCGCTTTCCTGCAATTTGGTGGATCATGTGAATAAGTCCTTCCAGTCATCCATCATAAATTCTTAACTGATATATATGCGTGCATCATCTCATTCAGCTTCGTGTGTGTAGGTGATATATTTCGATTTAAACAATCAAATAATAATTACAATAAATCAATTATTCACGTGTGTAGACATGAATAAAAAAGCAGATTTAAATAATTCTTAGCTCGTGATAATGAATTATCTATCCTCTTAACATTATCGGTTATGCCATTATTAAATAAATAATTTTGGTCAAAATAAAGAAAGCCAATAAGTAAAAGAATGTATCTAACTGGTCTCGTGGCTAACACTTTATGTAGAGTTTTTTTTTAAATTTTTTTTTTTTGAAGACTGGGATGAATATGTATAGATTAGAGTAGCTGTAATTTGAGTCTTACATCCCGAAGGAATATATGTGTCGTAAACGCAGAAGGGTTTCCGGAAGGGCAGGGCGAAGCCAATAAATAGGCTTGGCTGCTCCACACATTGAGGCTTGTGGAGCGGGCCTCAATCCGAACCCCATGGTCCAAGGGACTCGAGACTATAGTGAGAGGTACTTTGGGGGTAAGGAAGTGTTCGAAGGTGCGTAATCACTTTCGATACCCAAAAAGTTCAGCGCGATCCGGAGAAGGTTATAGACTATAACCTTCTCCTATTCAACTATAACTTATAGTTGAATAGGACACCAAAATAGTTGGAAGGCGTGCAAAAAGGTCCAAGATTCTTACAATAAGGCCGCGAAGGGCTACAGCTAGGGTTATGTATAATATTCAGTTTCGAAATTTGGTGAGTTCTATACTATATTATACAATATTATATACAATTCTGTCTGCACAATGATCTAATGGATGAGATGAGATTCCGTTTAATGCTCTGATGTCTACACGTCTCTACCCTCACAAGCACCGCTATTGCATCGAAGTAACAAGCTCGAAGGTATGTGAATATGTTTTTTCATGCAAACAAGTAAAATCAATGTGGTTATAGTGTTACAAGAAACTTCTATACTGCGCTGTGGGATGGCAAATTAAGCGATTAATCTTCTTTTACTACCAGCAGATGGTGAACGTTTCTCATGAGATGATTTGTTTCTACAAGGAAGAATTCTAGAGTTACTTAGCAATGTCGTAAGAGAAAGAATCGAAGGGAAGGAACGGAGAAGAGTAACATCGCCAAGATCAACATAAATTTTCACTAAAAATCATTCACAGTCTTAGGAAAATTTAATTTGATTTAATACAATAAAATATAGATGGACTTTTGAAGCTCTGTATTATATTGTATTATACTCTGTGTATAATACTTTAGTTAAATATGTACAGATCACTAGCTACAGCAGGTCCGTGTAGATGAATGATTGAGGGGTAGCACCTCAGCCAACAAGAGAGTCCGGCGTGGTTAAGAAAAGGTCCAAGATTCTTACATTAAGGCCGCGAAGGGCTACAGCAGGTCCGCGTAGATGAATGATTGAGGGGGTAGCACCTCAGACAACAAGAGAGTCCGGAGTGCTTACGAAAAGGTCCAAGATTCTTACATTAAGGCCGCGAAACGCTACAGCAGGTCTGTGTAGATGAATGATTGAGGGGTAGCACCTCAGACAACAAGAGAGTCCGTTATTTCCCGATGAAAAGCACGTTTACTTCTTCCGCAGTTAATTGATTTTATATAATTCTTGGAATCGCTTTACAGTTGGAAGATAGATTTTGTCTCGAAAAAAAGCTTTTATGCGTTTAGCTTATTGCACCGTAAATATTTATGACATGGTAAAAAAATTGATAACAAAATACGAATTATTAGATATGATTAAAACTAAACAAATCAACAATTTTACTTTTCATTTTGGACCTGAGCATCCTGCTGCTCATGGTGTTTTACAATTTGTATTGAAAATCAATGGAAAAATGGTAGAACGGGCAGAACCGCATACAAGAGAAGCAAATAAATCGTCTTAACGCTAGTGCAATAAGGCGTACAAATTTTAAAACACAAATAAAGCGTAAAAATTTGTACTGTTATATACGACGAACATCATTGCTAGTATTGCATAATTATTGTTCTATTGAACCATAATAATCTTTAAAATTTAAATCTTGATACAAAAATTTTCCATAATGATAATCAATGAACCTCTTGACTATGAACTAAAATTCAGATTGAATCGGATTGACTTTTTGTGCCATAGTTTACTATCGTAACTTTTTTATTGGTTTGATCTTGATCTTGATTTTCGAGTGCAAAGCTCTCTTATCCAAGGAAGAGGTATCCCGTGTAGAAGCAAAACTCTTCAAATTTATGACCATCCATTTCTTTAGTAATATTTAAACTAACAAAACCTTTTTCGTTATAAACTTGTGCATACCAACTAACAAATTGAGACAAAATACAAGATCTAAAGTGACCAAATTCTACACCTAATCCTTTATTCTTGAACAAGCAAGTATCCACAAAAGTACCTTTCCATATAGAGCTTGTCATAAACTAATTTTTGCGTTTTCTTAATACTGTTTTATGTCCACCTTTGGTAGACTTACCCCAATTTGATACAGAAGGTCTACTTCCTTTAGAGCATAGGATCATATCAACACTCCGAAAAATGGAGCTCCTGCCTAACCAACTATTATATGAGCAAAGGTTCCTGCAGCTAGAGTAAACTCTACGCCTTGACCTGGTCATTTCAATATTATGTACCCATAGCCTATAGCTATTTTGACTACTTCAAGTGTAAAAAAGCTCTTACAAGAGAATACACCACAATGTATTGTGCGGTTACCTTTGGGTGCTAAAAAAATAGATTTAGCAAAC